AAAGCATAATTATATGTACTAAGCATATGAGCATTGCATTAAGTATATTGCAATATAATTATGAATATTGTACGTACAAACAACGTTTGTGCATACATTGTATGTATAGGAATCGCAAATTGTACGTTCATGCGCGCGTACATTCTATGAACATAAAAATATGTAAACACATGAATACTTACATAAAAAATTTTACTATAGTATACAATCGTAATAACTTGTAATCGGATAGTTTGATTTCAAGTAATCACAATTACATGTAATCAAATTACATGTAATCATGATGACCATGTATATACAGGTACTTGTTGTTTGTACAAACATACATACATTGTGTGTACAATGTATTTCCCATGCATGCATGTACAATTTATTTGTGAACAGTATAATGTATGTATACATGTACAATATAGATATATATGCAGTATGTACAATATATGTATGTATACATGTACAATATAGATATATATGCAGTATGTACAATATATGTATGTATACATGTACATGATATGCATGTCCAATGTATGGGTGTACATATACATGTACATATATGATTATGGGTACATGTACATATATGATTATGGATGTACATATACATGTACATATATGATATAAGGATGTACATATACGATTACAAGTAATTGATTACTGTAATCAAAATTGTAATCATGATTACAGCTGTAATCAAAATTTTTTGAAAGTTGTAATCACGATTACAAGTAATTGATTACTTGTAATCGTGATTACAAGTAATTGATTACTGTAATCAAAATGGTAATCATGATTACAGCTGTAATCAAAAAATTTTGAAAGTTTAAATCACGATTACAAGTAATTGATTACTTGTAATCGTGATTACAAGTAATTTATTACATAGCTGTAATTATCTGTAATCAATTACAGTTGTAATCGACTACTGTAATCATGATTACAGCTGTAATCAAAAATTTTTGAAAGTTGTAATCACGATTACAAGTAATTGATTACTTGTAATCGTGATTACAAGTAATTGATTACATAGCTGTAATTATCTGTAATCAATTACAGTTGTAATCGATTACTGTAATCAACGGCCAACTCTGCTACACGCGAAGTCGAGCACTTTACGGTAGAACAGTTTAACGAGGACCAATACCGCACACCCTCGGTCCCTACGCAGACTGATCCAAGTGGTCACCCACCCGCACACTGACCGCAGCCAGTGATGCTTGACTTTGGTGATCTGCTGGGAACCGTGTCTTAACGATCAGTCCACTATGTAAATAATGAACATTGAGTTATATTTGAGAATTTTTTAAAGTTTTGTATTCTAATAAAATATGTATATCAGACACGAATTATTTTTAATTATCACTAAATTAAGCAATAAAAAGATTAATATATATAAATATATGCCAGTTCAGATTTCGTAAAAAAACGGAAAAAAAACGAACATTTGTTTGATAGAAAATTGACGACTTCAATACAATATTAATACACTGACTTCTGGAGATTAAAACTATTTTAGTGATTTGTGACGTATATACCGATCCAAGTCAACATGTTTCAAAAAGTATATTAAAAGTGGTGTTACGAGTCACCCATTTAATGCAAATCTGTAAATAATTTTGATCCATACTAACCAGAAAATGTCGGACAGATCACAAAATGAAATAAACTGCTTGAGACAGTTAAGGCCATCAACCAACAGTAGTACTAGCAGAAGAAAAAGAAAAACTTACTTGAAATAAAGTCTCATAAATTAGAAAACGCCATTGTTTATTTATTAAACTCTTTTTAATTTGAAAATTTAAGAGTTATTTTTTTCGGTTCAACGATTAGTTGACTCAGCCTCGGAAAATTTTTGTAATTTTAAAAAGTAAAATCTTTAAAAGATAACTAATGATTCAATCGGAGTTTTATGAATTCTTCTGGAACTTTATGCAATGTGTTTTCACCACTTTTAACATGCAATTTATAACCACTTATTTCATCATTTATCACCACTTTTAATATATATTTTTAGTCTTTTGAATGATGAAGTCAATAAAATATTGTGGAAATCTCAATTTAATATTTGCACTTGAAAAAAAAAATTACTATCGACATCTAAAGATCTAATACTATTGAGTTCTGGTACATTACAAAAAATATTAAAACTTGTTTTTAAAAAAAAATGAAATTTTAAATTTATTTGCTGCCTTGCTCTTCTATCCCCGTGATAAAAAGTTTTCTTCTTCATAGAGGACTTCTACAGCATGCGATTCGCGCATGCATAACCATTTCATATTTTATGTAGTTTCTAAATATTCGTGCCATCCCCTCTGCAGAGGATCAAAATTGTGTTAGCATGTTCTCCTTTCTGCAACGTAAATAAAGTTTTAGTACTATTACAACTACTTTTAAACATTTAGGAAAAATCATTTATGCTGCACTGGAGCTGCACAATGGGCTTTTGGTGACGGTCGGGGAAACATCCTTGAGGAAAATCCAAAGACAAGCTATCACAATTTTAATCCTCTGCAGATGGGATTGCTCCTCCGCTTTAGTAGCCTCATGGCCTGCGATTGAAGTAGAGCACTTCACAGTAGAACAGTTTAACGAGGATACCCACACCCTTGGTCCCTACGTAGGTCGATCAAAGTTTTCTCCCACCCGCTAATTGACTGCAGCCATTGATGATTGACTTCGATTTTCTAGTTAGAACCGTGTATTTACTAGTCCGTATTGTCTGCCGGTAGTAGACTGATTATAAAGACACGGTTCCCAGCAGAGCACTGAAGCCAAGCATCACTGGATGCGGTCAGGAAGCGGGTGGGTGACCATTTTGAACAGCTTACGAAGGAACCAAGGGTGTGCGGTATTGGTCTTCATTAAACTGTTCTTCTGTAAAGTGCTCGACTTCGAGAGAAGGTTGTCGGCTTGCAACTGAGGGGAGCCCCTGCAGAGTATCAAAATTGAGATGGCATGTTGTCGTATTATCCTCAGGGATGCTTCCCTGACAGTCACCATTAGCATAGTGCGCATCTCTAGTGTTCTACCATAACTAAACTGTTCTACCATAAAGTGCTCGACTTCACATGCAGGTCATCGGGCTACCGAAGCGGGGGTGTCATCCCCTCTGCAGAGGATCAAAATTGTGATGGCATGTCTTCGGATTATCCTCAGAGATGTTTCCCAGACCGTCGCCAATAGACCATTGTGCAGCTCTAGTGCGACGTAAATTAACTATAATAACTGAAATGATAATAATAAAAAATAGTGTTTTAAAAGCGTTTTAAAAGCGCGCAAGTGTGAACTGCATTGATGTGTGATTGATCGCATATCCAAATTTATACAGTGAGAATGCTCCTGAAATTGTTATTTAATTTAATTTTATTTAAATAGTTTATTTTAACGAGAATTAGGTCAGACAGAAATAGGTAACATTAAGCGTAAATGTGATATTTAAAAATAAATTTTCTGTTCATGTAAAACTGTTATTAGTTTTATTTTAATTAATTGGTTAATTAATGAACAGTTTTATCTTAGAAAATTTTGTATGGGATTCGGCTTGCTATGAGTTATTTTACAAATGGACTTGTCCGATGATATAGTGTATTCCTTCCAGGAAGAGGTATTTACTTTTTTAAGAGTAAATTTATGGTATGAGGTTTTTTTATTTTAAGTTTTTTTGTCCTTTCAAATATGGATAAATTTTATCAAAGTAAATAGTAAATCTAAATATGTGTTTTATGGATGAGTATTTTCATTTTTGTTATTTGTGTTAATTAACTATGGGAATAGCTTAAAGTACTGCAGAATTAAAATAATTATTTTCATATTTTTTTTAAATCAGAAATAATCAGCCAATGAATACTTCCTAGAAGAAAGATGTCCGGATCGGTATCTATTCTCAAACCATCTCGAAGTTTTTGCGACATTCTGGTAGTGACCAAAAAAAATCTGGACTGTCTAAACTTTGGAAAAATTGCAAGTGACACTGAAGAATTTTTGTTCAAAATTGCCTCCATTTTGCCTTTGATGACAGTTCTTTTAGATACCACAATTTCAATTATAGAATTGAAATTGTGAGTCATAGAAAATTCATTGTAATTATTTAATAGAATATTACTTGAGAAAAATTTATCCATAAATTACTCTTCCATAACATGATATCTTCATTGAATGCATATTAGAAAACTGGCTGTGCCCGGAAGTAACAGTTAAAGAAAAGACAAAGAAACTTCAATATATGTGCATTGTAACCTTTAACTTGAGTTTTTTTTTTAAACCTGTGCAATTATCAACAAAAAGTCTTAAAATTATTAAAGTATTAAAGTTTTTTTTTTCGCTATGTGAACTGTTTAACTGATTTTATTTTATATTCATTTTTTCTTAATTTAGTCCGAAGCATTCTTCAGTGAAATAGATGATGTTGATTTAGATTGTGCTATTGCCTTATCACTCCAAGAAAATTGTGGAGCAGAAATTAAGAGAGAGGTAATCAAATAATCATTTAAAAACGATAGATTTATTTCTATATTAATAATTAAAATATTTATTGAACTCTGGATTTACTTGACTCATAAATAAAATTTAGATTATAAAACATTGTTTGACTTGCAAGGAAATTAAAAAAAGATTATTGTATTTACAACTAGGTTAAAACTATATATTTTTTGAAATTTTTTATTAAGTTCTTATGCCAAATTACTTTTTTGATCCCAAATTTTTTAATTGAACTTGGTTCTTAATAAATACAGTGAAAGCTCCAGGAAAGACATCTCCTTGTAACGATCTCCTCTAGTCATGACCACTTTTGGGTGGCATGTAGTTTTTCCCATAGACTTTGTGTTGAGGAAAACTTTTTGGAGAGACCATTAAACCTCTCCCAGTTACCCGGCTAGCCTTCGCACCAAATGCGGAGAAAGTTAATGAAGGAAACAGGAAAAAATGTCAGAACAAAAAGTTCTAACAAAATTAATAAGTAGATTAAAATGTATTCAAAATATTTGTGCGAGACTTGTATTTTGAGTGCTTTTTTTGGCAATCTCTGAATGAGATCTACACCCTCATGTTGCAGTCAAAGTGTACTAAAGACAATATTATTAATGATTTGTTTTTAGACTTAAAAGTTAAATTTAAAAAAAAGTCATTTAAAAAAAATAAGCATCTTAAACAAACAAGCTTTAAAGCTAACTAATTTTTATGATGTAAAATTAAATGCAAACTTAAACTAAAAACATAATTGTTAATTCATTTAAAATGGTCCTATCTTTCATATTTGGTAAATTTGTTTTTACACATACCTATATCAGTAGTCATTCATTGATCCGGTTTTCATGGGGCCAACACAAGTGGCATTTCCGCACCAAGAGAATGACACTGACTAAAATTAAAATCGTTTGCGAAAAATCATGTACCTTCCATAATATTTTGAAACCTATAGAGGTCACTCTTGAGAGGTTTCACTGTATTTAATATTTATTTTGTGTGCCAATTTGTATTTCTTTAACCTATGTTGGATAAGTGAATTGTCATTCTTTATGAGTTGTATAAGTCAAGTTATTACAAGAATGCTTGATAGCAGAAAATATTTAAAACAAGACAATATGATATTTATATGATCATATCTGAATAGAATTTAAATTAATTAATACTTTGCCATCTATGAAAAATATCAGCAACTCTCTTTTTAAGCAATTATTTAGAATTCCTTTACTTTAAAAAAAAACATTGCAAAAAAAATTGATTCGGTATGCTTGTATTTTTTTATAGTGAAACAACCTATAAGAATTTATTAAAAAAATTTTTTTTCTTCTAGTTTATCTTAATATTTAAATTTTTTTTTTTATTTTTTAGTCTGATGCATCTTTTAGCAAAAGAAATGATGGTGATCTATATCATGCAACTTCATTATCTCTTCAAGAAAAATGTGCAGTAGAACTAGAAAAACAGGTATAAAAACAATTAAACTCATTTTTAAAAAATTTTTTACATTGAGTAAGGTATTTAGGAAACTTAAGATTTAAAAACTTAAATTGTTTAAACAAATAAAGTGAAGGAAAATTGTAAAGTGTTTTTAGATTGGTAAATAGATTTGATAAGAAAATAATCAATCCCTACATTATATTATTATTGTTTATAATTCAGTTTAGTTGTTTTATTGCATGCAAAAAGATTGTTTATGCATGCATTATTGACACTAATCGATGATTAAGTATTTTTCATATCTATATTTGGGTGTTGATTTCCAAAGTTTTTTTTTTTATTGTCATTTTTTTGAATAAATAGAAACGAAATTTGTATTGGGATATATAGTTTAACTTTTTAATAATAAGATAATAGTTCATTAATTCAATGAATGAATAGTTTATTTTTCTACTAGCTTAGTCATTTTTAGATACGTAATGGGCAATTCCATGAAAAAGGGGAAAAGCATTGGAAAATTCAAATAAGAATAATGTTATCATTTTGGATGTTTTCTGAATTAGAAAGGTTTGAAGTTTGATAATTTATAATTATTTTTTTTGAGAAATTAGTTTTTTAGTGTTGGTAACCCATTGAACATTGGCATTTACTTGTTCTGATTTGGGTAAAGAAGTTGGGTTAGCTTTTGAAAATCAGTTAGTTAACATTATTTTAATTTCAAAATGTTCCAAAGAATAAATATTGTTTATTANATTAATTAATACTTTGCCATCTATGAAAAATATCAGCAACTCTCTTTTTAAGCAATTATTTAGAATTCCTTTACTTTAAAAAAAAACATTGCAAAAAAAATTGATTCAGTATGCTTGTATTTTTTTATAGTGAAACAACCTATAAGAATTTCTATACAATATTTTTTTTTCTTCTAGTTTATCTTAATATTTAAATTTTTATTTTATTTTTTAGTCTGATACATCTTTTAGCAAAAGAAATGATGCTGATCTATATCATGCAACTTCATTATCTCTTCAAGAAAAATGTGCAGTAGAACTAGAGAAACAGGTATAAAAACAATTAAACTCATTTTTAAAAAATTTTTTTTTACATTGAGTAAGGTATTTAGGAAACTTAAGATTTAAACACTTTAATTGTTTAAACAAATAAAGTGAAGGAAGATTGCAAAGTGTTTTTAGATTGGTAAATAGATTTGATAAGAAATGATCAATCCCTACATTATATTATTATTGTTTATAATTCAGTTTAATTGTTTTATTGCATGCAAAAGGATTGTTTATGCATGCATTATTGACACTAATCGATGATTAAGTATTTTTCATATCTTTATTTGGGTGTTGATTTCCAAAGTTTTTATATTTTTTTATTGTCATTTTTTTGAATGAATAGAAACGAAATTTGTATAGGGATATATTGTTTAGCTTTTTAATAATACGATAATAGTTCATTAAACTCATCTTTGCTGAAATTATGGACGAAAATGATCTAGCATTTTTTTCCTACTAGCTTAGTAATTTTTAGATTCGTAATACTGGAATTTAACTTTATCATAGAAGTTTTTTTAAGTGTTTCTTTATTTATAAGAAGTGCTAGATTATGAATGTAAATAAATTATACTTTCTCAGGGTTCATCTGAAATAACTGTAGAGCTGTTCACCCTGTGGCTTTATTTATTTATTTTGTGATGAAAAGAAAAATATTTTTTGCCTCCTGTTAATGATTTTCGGTGTATTTGTTGTACTGTAGTGTAAATAATTAGAATCTCAGGATATATGTTGATAATATTAATGCAACATTAAGAATAGATTAGACCTATGACTTATTTAAGTTTATTCCCTGTCATGCATGCAGACATATCAGCAACAGGATTAGAATCTATTTAATAGTTTGCTTATCAATATCTTATGTTAATCATTATAATGAACATACATAATTTCGTATATAATCTGTTATGCTGTAGTATTGTATTTCTACTGTCCATGGCAGAACAGATGACATGAGGGACCTCTTATTGCTTATCTACATTCAATTTTTGACCTATTTAAACTGAAAGGATAAAACCTTACATGTTGAACCTTTGTAATTACTTTTAAAAAAAAGGATAAATTTTTCTTCTGTATGTATGGTTAAACACCTGTAGCCTCATCTATCTTTTACCCCTATATCATTTTTTAAACTTTCCTGCTCTTCTTAAATTTAAAAAATAATTTAAATATGAATTTATGGCAATAACTTGATCTTAGAATAAAAATGTTACAAATCGTAAAGTATTGTAATGTTTTCCTCTTAAAAATTTATATTTATATATGTATTTCAATATTTTTTTAGTCTGAAGTATTCTTAGACACAATAGATCAAGATTATGATTATGCATTTGCTTTATCACTTCAAGAACTTTCTGAAGATGCAAAAGAAAAAGTAATTAAATTTTATGATTCACTTTCTTTTTTTATATGCCCTTTGTTGCCATTATTGTGTAAGAATTTTAAATTTTTCCTTCAGCTTTTGCTTTATTTATGTGAGCCTTGGAATGGAATATTAATAATTGTATATTTTATTAAGATTCCATTCTAAACATTAAATGGTAAAATATTTTAAATTTTCTTTTCCTTAAATGAAAATGCCAAATGTTGTGTCTATATTTTAAGAGTAAAAGGAAGACATTTCTTTAAATATATGTGTTTTATTTGGTTGATTGCCTATAATGCAGCTAATGAAAAAATAGAATTATTCTATTTTAAAACATGTTTTCGATGCTGTTTATTCAGGGATCGATTCTGAAAGTTTGGTACATAAGCTCATGAGTTGAATGGTGAAATATTTTCAATATTCATTATCTGAAATGAAAATGCTAAATGGTATGTTGTATTTCAAAAGCCAGTTTCTTAAAAATAAAAGGAAGAAAACTCTTGAAATACATGTGTTTAGTTTGTAGATTATCTATAATGCAGCTTATAAGGAAATAGAATTAGATATTCTATTTAACAATTAGTTTTCTATACCCAGATCTTAAAGGCTTAGTACATAATCTTGCAAGTTGATAATGTAATATCTTATGCTACAGAATTCAATTTGATTCATCCTTTTTTTTTCTTTGTATTCTTCTAACTTTAATACTTTAATTTCATTGCTTTTCAATTGCATTTTGATCTACTTAAGTTCCATCGAAAATATATACATATTTTTTGTAACTGATTTTCTTTTTTCTTTCCAATTTCTTGTTTAAGATTGAAATTACAAAAATCATGTCAAGTATATCACCTATAGATTCTGTTTTTTTTAAAAAATTAATTTGCAAAATAAATCTATTTTTTAAGGCATTAAATTAACTAACATCATTTATAACTTAATGTGAATAAAATCATTCTGGAAATTTAAATTACTCTTTTCCTGCACAAAAGATATTTATTATTCAACTAGCTTATTTGGAGAAGTAATAAACAAAAATATGTTAAACTGCTAGTTTTCTGTAATTACTTTTTAGAAGTAATTAACAAATATTTATTAAATTGTTTAAATTTATTAAATTTTTCTTATGCCATGCAATAAAGACTTGGAAAAATATGCTAACATGAGTAAGTTTGTGGGTCTTTATTGCATACTTCTTTTCATAATTTCTTCTGAAGTTCAACTTCCTGAATACTAGCTTTTCAGTACTAGGCTGCAGAATTAGCTTAAAATTTTTGGATTTAAAAAATTCTGATTTTCTAATTTAAAATAATCTAGTTAAATACTTTTTTGAATTATTAGGTCTATAAATCTAAGTAATAGAATCTTGATATAAAATACTTTATTGTCTAATCTTGTGAGATTATATTCTATTGTGTAATTTTTAGAGGAAATATATTATTGTCTAATTTTTAGAGGAAATAGTTCATATTAAAAGATGTATTGAAATTTAATTAGCATACAAAGGGAAACACCTTTAGAATATAGTGAAAGTTAGTGTTTCATTTTAACCCTCTAAGGGTTTAGCCTTTTCACAGAAATTTCCGCGCTACACGCTATTTTTCCATTTAACAGAGATTGTGCTTTGGAAAAAATCCGGATTTCCAGATTTTTCGCTAACCGTTATCCGGAAGTTTCCGGAAAGCCAATAACATTTATGCATGAAAATTCTTGTATATTTTATTTATATCCATGTATATTATTTATATCTATATATATTATTTATATCTATATATATTATTTATAACTAGAATTTATACTTGGCATAATTTTTTGAAATGCATCATTAATGATTTTACTCAGACGACTATGGACTAACGCTTAACACAGAGGGTTAAATAACTTTTCTGTAGTTCACGATTTCTTAGGAGTTTTATATTTGTTATGTTCAATATTTTGCATCAAATTTAATAGAACAAAAAATTTTTTTAATAAATTTAACAAATAATTTACCTATGTTCTTATAGTGTATTTCATTAAATAGTTTAAATTTTTAGCCATTTCCAGTCTCTTTGCCTAAGTCCGCCCACAAGTCTATTGGTATTGTTGATGAGCAATGGGAAGTACTCGATCCTAATCCGGACATACATGCTTTGTTTCTTCAGTATAATGTTCAGTTTTTTTATGGTAAACTAGATGGTGTCGAAGTGAAATGGAGTCCTAGAATGACACTGTAAGTAATTTTGAATTATATATATATATTGATTGACAGAGTGTTAAAGATATAAATCAAATAAGTAACTGTAATCAACAATTCAAATTACAATTTTAATCATTTTTTTTAAATCATTGATTTAAGTCATTTAAATAAACAAAAATTAAGCTTATATGTTAGGTTTTTAAATAGATTTTGTGTACTCAGAGCAAAAAACTGAATCTTTCTAGAATAAAATTAAATAATTAAAAGGTTTTTTACAAGCTTCATTGCATATATTTATTGTTAACAACAAACGAAAAGATTGCTAACTTTTTTAATGAAATATGAAAAAAATTTATTGAAATATGCAGATATGTGCATTTTCTGATTTTATATTGAAATTTATGTTTAGTACTAAAAGACATTTGTGTAAAAGGTAGTATTTTTTTTACCTTGTCAGTCGATTCTGAAATCATATATTTTCAAAGTTATTGATTCTACTTATTTAGTAATGTATTTTTTGGTCTTATATCACTAATCATTTTCTTATGATTTTTGTTTACTTTTTTCATAAGGTTTAGCTAAATTCATGTAGGTAGGGCATGCATGTGAGCAATGATTTGATTTTTTTTCATTTCTTCTTCAAGTTAGTCAATTATATTTCATAATTATATAAATATAAACTATAATCTGTAGCAATTATAGTTCCTAAAATAATATAAAAATGATTTTAAGCGGTTCAATTCTAATTCAATAGAATATTATCTATTTACTAGTTCAAAATATCAATTTTAAATATTTTTTCCTTAAAAACTATGTTTTCCAAGAAATTTTTTTTTTTCTCTAAAATCTTTAATAGCCACTCATTGATCAAAAATGACCTCAATGTACAGTACAATTGGATGACTAGCATTTTCAAAACAATCTTTATTTTATTTTTATTTTTTAAATCTTATTGGTAATTCACATACTGATTGTGATTTATATACTTACGAACATTAAAAAAAGTTCCCCTTCTATAAGAATTGTCTGCTTGCTTCAAAAAATTCACATAATATCTGTTTGGCTGACTTATAGTAAATTGTGTTTATAGATTTATTTCTATTTTTTCGCAGGTGTGCAGGAGTTTGTTCCTATGAGGGAAGGGGAGGACTGTGTTCAGTGCGTCTCAGTTTGCCATTACTAAAGCTTCGTCCTAGACGTGATCTGGTGGAAACCCTTTTGGTAATCTTCCAGAATAATTTTTTTTTTTTAAGATTACATATTTAAATAGTTTTTTTTATCAATAATTATTAAAATCAGAAATTTTTTGTAACTCTTCTATGCAATACTTGAAATTTATCAGCACAATTTTTGAAATCTATCAATTTTAAACTGTATGAACTTGCATTGACTTGAGAAAAATACTTTGTGTTTGTCAGGGTTGTACAAATCTAAAACTTTCTGCATGTTCAGATATTGGATTGAGTGCTTTCTACAACACAGTGCAACATCATGTTTAGGAATTAAAATTTCATTATACAGTAAGGAACCAATTATCCGGAACTATCGGGACCATCGCTATTCCGGGTAACTGATTTTTTCGATTTTCTGAATCGCTACAAAAAGCTGTTTTTTTATTGTTGAACCCAACTAAAAAAAAATTGGAAATAATCTTGAAAAGAAGAAAGAACGACGAAGTAATACGCTAATGATTATTTCCAAAATGATGGTAAGGTGAACATCTTTCAAAAAAGAAAGAAAAATCATAAAATCTTTTGAGAAAAAAAAAAATTTTTTTTTAAGCGGCGGGAAAATTTATCGAATTTTGTTCAGGTTTTTTGGTTTTCCGGTTTTCTGATTTCCGGATAACGGGTTCTGTACTGTATATAAATATTATTGTTACCACATAGCGCTATTTACATTAATACTGTAACCCTATTAAAATTGAATTGAGAATGAATTAAAATAATACTGATACTAAGGAAAAGCTGTTAATCCTTCACAGGAAAAAATGATTTCTTATGGATCAGTTTAATAACAGATTTATGAACAGTTCAATCTTTAAAATTGTTATCTCTTTGCACAAAATGCAAGTCACTCTACTTGAAAATATTGAGTAATTTGCTTCAGAACCAATGATTGGAGTTGTTTTCTTCAAAAGTAAAATAGAATTTCTTTAAATTTTTTTATTAGGACTTGAAAAATTTGTTATAAAGCAATTAAGACGTACTGCACATAGTGTTTAGGTATGCATCTACGTAATAGTTTAGTCTTTATTACATAGAATTTTTAAATTTATGTTTACTTTCTGTTTTGATATTCTGTTATACTGATAAACCAGCGATTACGTGAAAAGGTAAGTATTTGTTTCAACGGTGGAAACAGACCAGTCGATTAGAGGACAGAAGGTATGTGCTTTAAGATTGCATTGAAGTTATGGCCTTAATTTAATTAAGCTTCGTTTTAAGCATCATAAACAGAATTAGAAAACTGATTTTATATATATTTGTTGGCAGTCTTAAAGAATCATAGCTTGCTTATTAGCTGTATTAATTTAAGTTATGGTTTTTGGAAATTTCTTTTTCTTTTAAAAAATGCGTTTAGTGTAAATATTTTTGCATATAAACTATTCTCAGTGCTTAAATATTTTTTGCTTGCTTAGATTTGTTATAGAAGTTATTTGTTATATTTTTTTGAGATATTAATTTTGAATTTTTTGATAAAGCTCTTGAACTATTCCATCATTCATATGTATTTATTTTTTTAAATCTTTTCTAATGCTAGTTCAAAAGCTAGGATTACTTTTGCTACTTTATTTTCACATACGATCACTTAAAAGTTTCACTTAATATAGTTACGTGTCTTTTTAAATTTGTTATGTTTTACACATTCATTTTAAATGGTTTATTTAGAATTCAGTGATTATCTCTTGAAATTTTCTTTTTTGATTGTGCAATATAGTTTTGCAAATTTTGCAAGTGCAGCACACAATATATTTCTTCAGTGTGCAATATATTTTTTACAGATCCTTAATTTTATAAATAATAATGAAAAAATAAAAAGGTTAAGTAATATTTGTAATTTTTTTAAAAAAATATTATTTATTGTTCTTAAATTTCTTTTCTGCTTTCTTTTATTATTTTTTTAAAAAATTTATTCCACTGAAACCTGTTAATTGGTCCAATATATTCCAACACCAATTTGGTTGAACAAAAAAAGCTTGATTACTTCTGTGTGCATTGGTTGTATCCCTAAGTTTATTAAACTGTTATCCTGTAGAAGTCAACTTTAACAAGCTTAGTTTTTAATCTTATTATTGTGAATTAAAACTGTTTTGTTACACTTTTTTTGAAAAAGAGATGACTGAAATATGTTCCTAAGTCTCCTGCATAATTTTGATGAAAAAAGTCAGCAAATTTGCTTGATACAAAATTTAAATTATTCAAATAAATTTATTTATTATTATTTATTTATTTGCAGCATGAAATGATCCATGCATATCTGTTTGTAACAGCTAATAATAAGGTAAGCATATTTTTCTTTTGGCTCTTAAATCTCCTCTTTTGCTCTTATAATGTAGAAGAACTTAGACTATTAAACATATTTTAATTAACTCTTTTTGCATAAAATTAAACAAGAAATTTTTATTGTCATGAAACTATTTATCTAATTTCAATCAAAATGTAGTTTTTTTTTTAAATTTAAAATTAAATTATTTAAAAGTATGCACAAATGTTTTTAATTCAAATTAATTTTGTTCAGTAATAGAATAAATAATAATTGATTATTAAAATTTATTCTTAGCATGGAATCACACTTTTTTAAGCAAATTAAAAATCAATGATAAAAGTTAAAGGTATTGTTATTTTTATTATAATTAATAAGAACATGGTTTTCAAATTGCAACCACCCATTTAATTTTCTTAGAGCCTGAAATTTGAATCGGTTGAAAATCGGTATATTTACCCTGTGAAAGTAAATTTATAAAAATGATGACCTGCAATGACTTATTAGCATATTTGAGAAGTACCTTTCGAAACATTATGAATTTTTTTCAAACATAATTGAAAATCTAAAGATTGAATCAAGGATTTTTTTTTTGGGGGGGGGGTAATCAGTTTCTTTAATTTGCTGAATGCATATAGAAAATCATTCTAACGTGTTTGAAATTATTAATAAACTTACAGAATTATTTTCAACTCTATTTGTAAGGGTTTTGACCATAAGAACATTTTAAAAATATTTTGAAGAATTACAGTATTTTTAGTTGTAAATTTTTTTAAAATGGCTTTGCGTTCTTTATTATTTATTTATCTTTTTATATTTGTAGGATCATAATGCCCATGGGCCAGAGTTTTTGAAACACATGCATAGAATAAATAAGGAAACTGGTACTTGTATTAGTGTAAATATTGCTTATATGTCATTGTTATAATAATTTTGCTTTCTGAACTTATATTTAAATACAAATTCCTTCAAAATGATATATTATTAAGTATTTTTTAACAATATTTATTTTATTGTAATAGTTTATAAAGTAACATTTCATTTTTTTACGTATTCATGTTATTTTCTTCTTTTTATATTTTTTGAAACAGTCTTTAAGATTAATTTCTCGTTTTTGAAGTTGTCCAGGAATTCCAGACGAATATACAAAATTGAAAATGCGAGTATTTCAAGTAAATTTGTACAGCTGTACTAGTTTATATATATATATATATGTATGTTACGCTTTGATAGCATAAACATTGTAGATTCATAGTGTGGCTGGTGCTTATTGAAAAAGATACAGGAACATGGAGAAATAATACAATTATTTTAAAGTAAGGGCCGAAGCCCCAAAAATGAGAACTCTATATACTGGTGGATAGATAGAGAAGAGCCAATTGACCTTGGAACAAGGGTTTTTATAACTTTCTGGACAATATATTTAAATATTAATAGGTCTTCGTAACGTGGGACTGATCAATTTCCCAAACTACTAAAGATGCATCATCACATTTTCTGAGATAATTAGATCAATATTATTATTTTCTTTGTGGGAAAGGTTTTAAACGATTGCGCATTAAATAAGTGGTCTGTTTATGGATTATATTTAATATATAATTATTTTAACATTACATAATATTATTGATCTAATTATCTCAGAAAATGTGATGACGTGTCTTTAGTAGCTTGAGAAATTGATCAGTCCCACGTTACTAAGACCTATTAATATTTAAATATATTGTCCAGAAAGATATAAAAACCCTCGTTCCAAGGTCAATTGGCATTAAAGAAATGGTCTATTTATGGATTATATTTAATATATAATTATTTTAACATTACATAATATTATTGATCTAATTATCTCAGAAAATGTGATGATGTCTCTTTAGTAGCTTGAGAAATTGATCAGTCCCACGTTACTAAGACCTATTAATATTTAAATATATTGTCCAGAAAGATATAAAAACCCTCGTTCCAAGGTCAATTGGCTCTTCTCTATCTATCCGCCAGTATGTAGAGTTCTCATTTTTGGGGCTCCTGCCTTTACTTTAATAAAATTATATGATTCCTGCATCTTTTCCTGTATCTTTTTCACTAAACACCGGCCACACTACAAACTTACAATGTTTATGCTCTCAAAGCATAACAAAAAGATGTGTCTTTAGTAGCTTGGGATATATATATATATATATACTACTGTAATGAAAATTTTTTTTTCATTAGGTTTCATTCACATTTGATTGTTGAATAATGGTGAATCACTTTTAACAATTTGGATTACAAGAAAATAGTCTCTTTGAAATAAAAAGAATTTTTTCTCTAATTGAATTCACTAATACCAAAATTTTATCTTCCCATTTCTGATAATAATGCAACTTTATTAATAATTTCAAAACATTTAAAATTTAAGGGCCATCCTTTAATCATGCAGATTGTTGCAGGTAACTTTGCTGAATTTATTATTTTTAAATTGTGAGTGAGTTATTTTTCAGAAGAAGTCTATAACTTCATAATCACAGAATTATAATATTACAAATTGGAGTAATAATTAGGAAATCAATAATTGTACAAAATTGCTTTTGGCATCATTGTTGAGTGTGTTCTTTGAAAATGTTTGTGAGTGATTTTTTGAAAAACTTAAAAATTTCCCTAATGCGAAAATCATTAAAATTACTAGTTGAGGGATTCTTCACACACATACTATTTTCAGCAAATGCAAAACAAATTTTGTTATATTGTCTTTGTTTTTAATTCTAAAAATGGAAAACATTAAAATTTATGTAATTTTGGAAGTTTATGAGGATCTTTTTTTTATTCATTAGATTTTTATTATTCAAGTAAAATTGCAATAATTTTGGAATTTTCAAATGTGAATTTTGGTACACAATTGAGCTTTTATTTGGAAATTAGTAATATTGATTATTTGATTAGATAGGTATTGAACCCAAGTTTATAACATTTAAGTTTTTAGTATGAGAAATCATTTGTTAGTATTTTTTTAGATTGATATGTCTTTATAAAAACTAAAACTAATCGAAATCCAAAGTTTTAGTATGAAGAATCTTTTAACTAATTGGCTTTTTTTAGTTTTGATAATTTCTAAATTATTAATTAAAAAATTATAAGTGATGTAGCCAACTTGAATAGTTTTTAATTTGAAATAAGTTTTTTTTCGTTAACTCAATTCACAATCTTTATTAATCCATTATACAGACTTGCCAACTTTCCAGATTTCGAGCCTTTTGACTTTTATACTACATTTCGTCATTTTGTCTTTTTTTTTAATTATTATTATTATTTATTTTTGATGTGAAACACAATTTGAGTTTTCCCACACATTTGCATGACCTGTTTATGTTTGTGTGTTTAAAGAAAAAAACAGGTGGTAAAATCTAGTCTGATTGGTTCAATTTTCAGACACAAAAGTAAGTAGATGCTGTGAGAATAATTCCTTAGCAGTGTGAATCATTCTCAACTGTGAGAATCATTCTTGAAAGAGGAAATATTTATAGATCATGAGCGTCAGGAAGTAAAGTGATTTCCTTCTTAGTTTCTGTAAACAAGCATATTGTGTGCAGTTTGGATAATTAAATATGGCAAAAATATATATATATATTTAACTAGAAGAAATATTTAACTTCTTTAATCTCTTATATTTAGAAGAATTTCCATGTATAATATGTTTCAAAAACAGAATTAACTATGCATTTGGCACTTATTGTTTGAATTTTTTAATCCTACAGAAAAAGGGACGTAACCAATTATTTGAAGCAACAAAAACCTATTGATCTGAAAGAGAAAAATTGTTAAAAACGAAACTATTATATTTTCTATAAAGTTATAGCAGTGACGTTCTCCAATTTTCTAACTTAATATGTGTGCCAATGTTAAAATGTTTTTTACTGGTAAATAAAAGTAACTTACTAATTTTCATTTTTTTTTTTTAATTTTTGAATTTAACTTTATTTCTGTATGTTTTTTTCATTATTAAGTAATTTGTGTTACTTTCTTCCTCGCTCCTTTCTGAACATGCATGAAAAAGTTTTGTACTTTTTCATTTTTCTCTGGTAGGCGCATCTGATTATATTAAATAATAATAATGTTTTTAACTGAAAAGCTGAAAATTCAAAATACTCCAAGTACCATGGCTTAAAGTTATTTTATCTGTAATTTTTTTTTCAGTTTGTAGTTGTGTTTATTGCATTGTAAACAATTAAATTACTTAACATATTTTTCACATATTTAGAATTGGAAATGTCTTTTATCTAATGAGTTTGGTTACGGTTTAGCATTTTATTAATGAACCACTCTAGAACAAATTTTGTTCCTAATTTACACTTTTTTGCTGTTATCTTGTGTCTTTTCAATCATAAATTCTTAAATTGTATTTGATAATAAGAAAAATATTAAAGTCTTAGTTTGTGAAAATTTTTATCTAAGCCTGAAAAATTCAATTCTGCATTTATTCCTTTAAAAAAACAACAAAGAAAAAGCAAACAAAAAAACTTGTACCCGTGTTCCAAGTGTGAACTTGTGGTCACTCTAGGTACATCAATGTTATAATCCAATTCCTGGTTGACTCTTCTCAACATGGTTCTATCAACCGTATTGTGACCACAAGTGATCCTTTCATGTTCTGGAAAATCATGCAGCAAAAGGGTAAGAAAAAGTCTTGTATGTAGCCCAACAAAAATAAATAAATAAATGAAATAAAATTTATTTACAAGAAAATGAATGTCTGGTTAGCATGGGGGCCATGGCAAGATAGGTATATTATCTTCAGAAATTCAGTAACAATGCTGTACCATCCCCACGGAGAATTCTAACCTTCTAATAGCATTTTGTTTGCCTTCCTGCACAATATGATTCATTTACTGCTTATAGTCAAATATAAGTCTCCACCTATTGCCAACTGCTGTTATAAAAAACTTGAATTGTGTCTGTATTTCGAGCAAGACTCGCTTTTGCTTTATTCAGCTTAGTTTTTTTACTGCAGGTTTCTGAAATCCTGGAGGGAATAATTATGAATAGCTGTGTATTTTAGGTTACATATTTAAATTTCTGATAAACTTTTTTTAAATTCTAGGTTTATCATAGTTTTCACGATGAAGTTGATTTGTATAGAAAGCACATATGGAGGTGCAATGGTTCTTGCCAGAAGAAATCTCCATATTATGGTTATGTTAAAAGAGCTGTTAATCGAGCTCCTGGTCCTAATGATGTCTGGTGGGCTCAGCATCAATCTTCTTGTGGTGGGACATTTACAAAATGTGGTGAACCTGAAGGTTATAAGAAGAAATCAACAAAAATAAGCCAAAATGACTCTGTAAAACGAAAACCTTTCAAAAGTATATTTTGCGCAATTTATTTCTTTGTTTTCAAATTTGCTAATATCGTTTTTTTTATTTGCATGTTTTACATTTTTTATAAGGCTAAGTTTTCTTTATTTCACTCTTCATGTATTTTTAATTTTTTTTATTGTCTGTATCAACATGGAAGGAATGTTTTAATTTTTGTAGCTTCGTTAGGCATTGATTTGTTCCAGGCATATACATCATTGTTAGAGTGCGGAACTATGCTATTGAGTAGAATTTTTTTAAATAGTATTAATTTCATAATTTTTCCTTAATTTTTTTCTTCTTATTTAATTTATTTGAATATGAGTTTTTAATGTTTTGTTAAACTCTTTTCCATTTTAACTCAAATCTGAACATAAAGAAAATTATCAGTTATTTTCAATTTGAATTAACAAAAATGCATATTATTATTAGGAAAAATATATTTGAAATATAAAGTTGAACGGTGTTAATGAGGCTGTTTATGAGGAAATAAAACTCATCATAATTATAAAATTGATTTACTTTTTATAGCCAAGCAAACATCTAGATGCTAGTTTTAGCAAACCCACCACAGCATAAAAATTTTTTTTTCTTTTGCTTGCCTGTTTAAAAAATTTGTAATTTCCATTTTTGTTTTTAAACCTAATTAGTCATCAGAATTTATGTAGGTAAATCTTGTTAATTCATTTCAATATAAATTTAGCTCATGATGTATTGCACTATTCTTTGTGTCGCAATGTGATTGAACTCAAAAATTCTGTTGCAAAATTTAATCAGCAAGTCTTAACAGTGTGTATTTAGTTAAATATCCTTTTAATTAAATGGATTTAGAACTATTAAAAAAGTGCATACAAATTCAAATACATTTTGATCATGTGGCTGTTATGGTAGAACTTTAAAAGAATTAACTTATATGTTGTCTCAATTAATAAACTTCCTTCCAAAAAATGTTCTTTCAATTTATTATTACTTTTTATTGTCTTTTTTAATATCTTATGCTTGGTGAAATTAATAGATTGAATTTATCAAAAAAATTGTTTTAATTATTATTTTTCAAATAAAAGAGCATATAACTTCCAAATGTATTGACTTATTAATTAATTTTATAGATGCTGATAATCAACTGACAAATATCAAGAAATTTCTGAAAAATCCATCATCATCAACAGCAGTTTCTAAAAATGTATCAAATTTTATAAAAAATCGTATTGAATCTTCTCAAGGAAAAGAGGAGAACAATTTGACGGGACGTAACAAATCATTAAACACTCTACATGGAAATTCTGTGCCTGTTTTATGTTCTAATGAATCAAAGAATGTTGCAGTTTTTACTGGAAATGGTTTTTTGCTTGGTTCTTCTTCTGGTGCAGTACCTAAAAGTTTCCTAGCTAACTTACGTCGTGAAATAGCCTCTTCTTCAAGTGCTGCTCCTAAAACGATTTCTGTTCAAAGTGAAATAGCTTCTTCTGGTCGAAAGACTTTTACACAGTCAAGTAAGAATACAGTAAAAGAATCTTGTGTTTTGGGTGTTATCGACTCTACGCAGAATAATTTTGAATATAAAGGTATTATTTATTTTTTGTATAAATTATATGAAATAAAAATCATATCCCTTAATTAAAAAATTGTATTAAGTCATATTATTTACAATATCCTAGCTAAATTTTTTTTTAAAGCTAAGGGGAGCATTGTTAAAATCATTTGTTGTTAACATTTCTTTGTTGTTTTTTATTTATTAATTGATTTTTTTTCAAATTTTATCTACTGTAGTAAAGTAATTATTATATCAATTTTTTTCCAGCTAAGCCTGTAAATAAACATGGGTCTCAGAAAATCACTCTTAACACGTCCAAGAAACCAAGTTTTATTCAAAGCTCCATAGATAAGTTTGTAACTTCACCTTCAAGGCCATTAATGGGAAATAATAATATGAATGATGCAACTAAAGACAGTAATTCAAATACGACACCAAAGGTCAAATGTCCTGTTTGTTTTAAACCTTTCACAAGTTTTGAAATCAATGCTCACTTAGATTCTTGTCTCACATTATGAGGCTAAATTTGCAATAATTTTTGTTTTTGCATTGTATACACATTTGTTTTACATTGTATATTATGTATTTTGCATAATATACTTTATGACTGAATTTCAATGTAAAAATTTGTATATTTTTAGGATTTTATCTCTTGTAAATAAATTATTTTGCCTATGAATTTGAGTAAAGTGTTATTAAATTATATATTTAAGGCAAATTATATGTATATACTTTTAAAATTATTTCTAATAATTTCTTAAACTATTACATTTTAGTGATTTGTTAAGATTTAATTACTCTTGTGTAATGTTATTTGACTTAAATTTTAAAGAGGATTTTTAGTTCATATTATATTAATAATTAAAAAATTCTCATTAATTGGTATTGTCTCTCATATATATGGTAAAACATGTATGAAAATTAAGGTGTTATAAGCTCATAAAGGCATTTTTTTTCTTGCAAATTCTGTACATTAAATGCTGTAATGTAAATAAAGTATGAAAATTAGTAATTTAAATATCAGTTTTTAATTTAGAATTTTATTTTTAATGTTACTAATTTGTTTGTATGAATACAACCAATGGTAGCTCTTTCCAAATAACAACTATTCAACTAGGTTTGAAAGCAAAACAAAAAAATTATTGACATTAAACTCAAAAACTGAATTAATAGTATTTTAATGAAGTGTAGGAAATAGATGTGATCAGGTTGCTGGTAGTGAAGGTAAATGTATGTGATCAGAGGTCTGTTTAGAAGAAATTTGAGTCCTTAACGGACCCTTCGCGAAATAATTTATCTTTTAATCGGACCCTTCAAAAATTTATTTACCTTCATTATTGTTTTGTTAATCGAATAAACCCTCTGAGGGGGGGGGGAGAGACGGTTCGAGACAAACTAAGTTTCCCCAAGTTTAAATTCCAAATGTAGTATTCTAAGAAAATATTTCTACTTTTACAAGCATCGTGTGAGCATTCTAATTAATAATAATCATAATTTTTTTTTAAATAAATAATAGATCGATTTGTATTTATTCATAAAAATTAATAGAATATTATGTAAATACAAATTAATTTCTTTCCAATTTTTAAATAAAATATTATAAATTTAAGAATTGTTTAAGTTTACTTAATGCATAACACATTAAAAGTGATACATTACTAAATTGAGTTATTTAAAATATGTCAATTGAAATTATTATAAATGTGAGTGATTTTGTTTCCATTATTCGTCCGAAATGAATATTCTGTGTTGAGCAATATAGGCTAGATACCAAATATTTGTATGTTGCATCTCTAATTTCGTAGCAGCAATTGTTAAGCAGAATCTTTGCAATTTAAAAACTTCTGGAAAAGGTTTTTAGCAATTTTTGTAATAACAGGACCCTATTTGCACAAATTCACAAGAGCCAGACCCTGGTTGAAAGAATATGACTTAACGCTTTTTTTTATATTCACAAATTATGAATAGTTTTTTCACAATTTTACAAAAACAGGACCTTTCACAAAATATCTGGACAGACCCCTGGTGATGCATCTCTCTTTAATGTGCTGAAAAGCAGTTAAGCCATATCCCCTCCCCCCGTTGTGTTTAAAACTGAAATTAGAATTATCTATATATTTTTATTTGGTGTGCAGAATTTTACTGTTAATGTCAGTTACCCATTACTAATCAATTAGATGAACTATAACTATCCGCGGATGAATTATTTGGAGCTACTGAAATATTTGCACAATCTTAACCTAATATAGTGATTGTTCAATTAAGGTTTGAAATAATTGTATATTCAACAAAAAATACTATTTAAAAGCTAAGTGAGAATGTTTTTTTTTTAAATAAAAAACATTGAACTTAAAAAGAAAAATTTCTTGCATTTTTATCAATTGGTGACAGTCTATTTAACTTAAAAAAACTATGCCAGTTTTGATAAGTTGTGTGTAATTTGGTTATTTTTCTCCAAAATAATTATGTAAGTTATTTTATTTTACTTGTGAATATTATTAGCTTTGCTTTTGATCTTCAGGTTCGAATGCCCAGTTAGCATGTGGATTCGAATATTAAATTAGTATGTGCATAAAGATGGAGAACAAAAATCTATCTGTCAATGAAAATTATTTTTAAAGATCTAGATGAGAGAAAAAAATAATAACAAAAATTAAATATACTCTATAAAAATTAAGCGTAGTAAATCGATTGGAAATACAGACAGGCACCCGATATTGTTTCGTATTTCATCATAAAATATTTGTCTTCATATATTCTTTCAGATGTGACATTAGCAGCTTGGCTCTTCTGCAACTTAGAATTTTATACTTTTTCTCTTCAAATTTCCTTATTATTGTAGTTGCATCTTGAATTGTAGTATATATATATATATATATAAATTGAATAATGTTATAAACTGATAAAAATATAGTTAACGCACTAATGAAAATTGAAACTGCCAACATCAACTTCTAAGAATTACGAAAATATGTGTTACTCGAATCAAAGTGTAAGTTACGGCCTTGAAAAAGGTTTTTCCTCGAATCTTGCAAAATTGTGTGTTAATTTTTGTGTTTTAAGGATGTAGCCATAAAACCTGTGTCTGTTCTTGTGATAGGTTAAATGCTAAAAAGTCATATTTTATTGTTTTTATGTAATAATTAAAAATGTTGACTTCAGTTAACGTGTTCCTACAAAATATCTCCCATGTTAAAGTCTCCTCTAAAAAAAAATCATAATAGACGTCGTACAGTTTGTCTACGGTAAGAACTCCCCACGCCGCAAAATCTGAGGCCGTATGCTGCAATGGAAGCAAGAATAACGTATTTCAGGGAGGGTAGCTTTTCTTCACTCTAGGGCTAACGCAATTGACCGGAGAAAAAGATTACCCTTCTCTCACCGAAACCAGTCCTAAACAGTGACCCCACATCCCTATTTGAAATAATTATACATCGTTACTATAGTCACCTCCAAAGGTCCATGGCTAGAGTTCTTACTTTTGATAAATTATAGTTAAATCATATTGGAAGGTAATCAATGCGAGAAAGAAGATTCATTCAATTAAAGTAAGTTATTTATTTTACATCTCTGATGTATAAGAATTTTGAATTACGATCCAAGAGAACCAATTTTTACTGAGTATATTATTCAATGTTAATTTCTCGCATTTCCCTCTCTAATGCTTCTGTCACAGGATCTTGAATAGTTTTGGCGATGGTTCGTTGGAAGATTCCTGAAAATTTAGTGGTAAGTTCTCCCAAAGCCCAACCAAGGTAACTAGCTCCGGAGATCTCGATTTTAACATCTTTAAATTTTTTAATCTCGAATCGTTGGAGGCGTGGATGTGCAACTTCCGTCGTGTTCTTCTTGATCAGAACTTCAATATCAGCTTCGAAATCGTGAGAAATGAAAACCACATTACCTTCTTTATTTGAATGTCTCTTCTCTTTGGACCATGTGTAACGACCCTGTGAAAAAGATACGGTTTCAGTTTGTTTTTGCTTTGATATAAAAATTTGTCAATTTAAAATTATCTAAAAAAAAAATTTTTTTTCTTTGAAATGCGGTATCAACTCGGATATCGAAATTTGGCTAAGTTAAGATGATAATATTAAGGCTTTTTAACATGCGTTTCAGGAAATTTGATGACTCATAATTATTTTCAGTACTAGAAATATTCCAATTTTGATGTTGTAATGTCAAAAACATCTATAGAACTTTCACTAAAATTTCATTTAAAATTACATTCTGCAATGAACTTTCCCAATTTGATAGATTTCACCATTTTTATATTTTAGTTGTAGAAAACTTTCGTCCCCTTTTTTTTTCTTTTTTCAAATACATAAAAGAAAATAAAAAAATACGTAAATGTAAGAACGGTGGACGGTAAAAAAGGTTCCGCCAAAAAAGGCCCATGGAGATAAAGGTCCCTAGAAAAAAAGGTACCGGTAAATAGGGTCCTGGTAAGAAAGGTACTTCAGCAGGGAAAGGGACTTTCAGTGGGACGTTTTTCTTTTTTTAAGAGATTAAGATAAAGATTTCTTTTTTTTAGAAACTTTTTTTTACTAATTGATTTTTAATGGAGGATATGTTATTTTAAAAAAATTTTTTGTAGAAAGATTAAATGTTTAGATTAGCTAATTGAAGGGGACTTGTGGGTAGTGCGTATTTTTTCTATATTTAATAAGAGGGAATTATTTGAAATGTTTATTTTTTGAGAAAGATATGTTGTTTTTTAAATGTATTTAAATAATAAAATTTTATTTTTAAATGTTGTTAATTTGAAATAGTTTTTTTTTCTAAATATTTGCTTTAGATTCAAACTTTGAATAAATTTTTAATGAGTAATTCTCATTAATAGGAAAAATTATACATTGAGTCAGTGCAACTACAGAAATTCGACATAAAATAAAACAGCGAAAAGATCTTCAGTTTTAATTTCGAATTCTCGTTCTCTCTTCTCATTTAAAATATTTTTCCCGACACAATTTTCCTGAAACTGGTACCCTTCTACCGGAACCTTTTTTGAATTTTTTTTTATCTACATTCGTCAGTGCATAACTAGCTATGTATTACCAAAATAGTAATAAATAAAAAAGACAACTTTTAAACAAAGAATTGAAAAAATTTATTTCCTCTCTGAAGTACATTAATAAACTTCATTATTCATGATTAAACTATAAGGCTATTTAATTGTAAACAATTTATTCGATGTTGATTTCTCGCATCTGTCGCTCAAGTGCCTCTCTAATGGGTCCCTCCAAAGCGTTTCCAATGACTCTCTGGAATATTCCAGATAACAGAGTGGTCATTTCTCCTAATGCCCAAGTCAAATATCCTAATCCAGTCATCTCAATTTTAGCGTCTTTGAATTTCTTGATATCGAACTTCTCGAGTCTGGGGTGTGTGGGCTCGCCTTCACCTTCATGTCTCTCTATGATAACTTCACACTCTGCCTCAAAATCGTGAGAAATGAAAACAATATACCCTTCCCTGTCACTGTGTTTTGTGAGTTTAGACCAGGTATAACGACCCTGTGGAGAAAAGAATGACCCTTTATTTTAAAATGCAAATATCTTTCGTTTTTTTTCTTTCACATCTGTTTACATTTTAAAACCAACTAGCTCAAGCTAAATGCGAATTAGAAGAAAATTAATGTTTCCAATTCATATTCATGGTGTATCTAAAATGTTGTAATATCTTTTTTTTTCCTTCGTAATACTGCCTTTTTCTTTCCAGAACAAACTCATTTAAAACTCATTCCGTCGGAAACTAATTTTTAATATCGGAATCTAGATTATTATTTTTCTTCTCGAAATCATTGATGACTTTTCAAGTTAAACTGAAATTTAAACCAATTAAAATAAACTCTGAAAAAAATTGAATCTATGTTGGATAACCGTTACATTCCTAATTATTACATTCTTAACACTAGAAAGACGGAAAATTAGGGTATATACCTACATTACCCAAAAGCAGTCAATATGACTGGATTGTGAATGCGTCAATAAATTTGTTTAAAATTAATTTTTATCATTTTTTATATTATTTCAGTTATATAATAAGTTATTAGTAAATATTAACAATAAAAAAAAATATATGTAGTGCAAAAAGTCATAAAATTCTAAGAAATTGTGTCATTATATACATCATTGTTTTTCGAATTGAAATTAAAAGCAGTCAAAATGACTTCCTTAGACAATCTAGTGTTAATCATAATTTTTGACTCCTTGGGTAGTGTAGGTTCTTAGAGGAAGTTAAATCGGTTTGTTATTCATAAGAATTTTAAAAATATTTAGGAACCACCCCTATGAGGATATCGCCTACCTTGCGATAACACCTCGGGATAACACCCCTAATATATATATATAAAGAGAGAGAATCAAAATCAGAGTTATCGATAACACTGAAAGATGTTCTAATAATCACCTAAGACTAATTACAGTACACAATAGGAATTAAAAAGAAACTAATCATTCTAAAATATGATAGGATTTTCACGTACTAGGAATCAAAATAAGGATTCGGAAAGTGATCTAAAACATGGTAATTACTGCATACTATATTTAGTTACATACTATATTTAGCATACTATATAAGTTACGAAATCATGCAAAAAAACGTACTTTCTCTAGAAACATACCTTTTTCGTCGGAATGGAATTTCTGACTTTTTAAATATAAGGAGAAGCCGGAATTGTTTGGAAATTGGAAATATATGGTCATAAAAATTTGGTCAGGAGAGTGGGCGAAAGTTTAGACACCTTGATGTTAATTTTCCTTTTTTTCGCATATTTTTGAGAAATTTTGAAATGCATCGAAATTTTTTTTCTTCTCCCCACAATTATAAAATTCGTTCAACAAATTCCCTACAAAAATTTTTAATAATTAGTTTTTTTATTTTATTTAATAATAGTCGAAAAAAATTTGAATTGTTAGAAATACCAATTTTTACATTATTTTAAGAATGTAATTTTATGTGGCAATAAGCAAAATTTGAACGAAATCGGTAGAAGAGCTCCTGAGAAGTCGAATTTTAAAAAGCCTTGTATTTAAAATACGATTTCATTCGATCGATTTCGCTCGAATTTTGTTTTAGTAAATTACATTATTTACTATGATGTAAAAATTCGCATGTCTTGCAATTTAAATTTTTTCGACTATTATTAAACTAAATAGTAATAAATCAAAATTAAATTTTTTTTTTTTTACATGAAATTATATTTGGACAAATGAATTTTATAATTGTATGCGAAGCTTTTTTGATTTGCTTAAATGCTTTTCCAGACATGATGAAATGCGCAAAGAGTAAAATTATCATCGAGTGGTCCTAACTTTCAACCCCTTTCTTATCAAGTTATCAACTTTCTATAAGAATAATTATGTTTGGTTTTGTCTTGTCAATTTTAATTTTCTGTAATTTAATTTTGTTTATATTTGATATCTTGTACTAATTTGAATACGATTATGAATTGATTTTAACATTTAATGGAACAAAAATATTATTTATGGAATTAAGAGAATAGACTTGCTTACTTTTAATTCATCAGTAGTTATTTTTCCTTTAATGGTTATAGTATTGCCATCACAACTGACTTCAGTTTCTCCGAGTCGAGTTATGTTAGAAAGGCCCCAAAGAACACCATCATTCAATTCAACAATAGTTGATCTTGGAGGTAAACGCATAGGGTCTGGAAGTTCTTTTCTGGCTTTCTCGAGCACTCGATCCAAGTATTCATTTACATCTGTTTTCACACAACTAGTGTCTCGCTCTTTTTCACTGTCATTCTCGCCAAAAAGACGACTGATGAAGCCACATTCGCCTGCCAAACACATAGCACATGCAATTTAGAAAGATTTTTTCAAAATTTTATTTCATAAGTTTAATTGGATACCAGCAAGTAACGTCATCGTAGGTAAATCGTGGCATTTATCGATTCAGGAGTCAATCAGGCTTAACACACGCTGGTGACGTCACTTACAGGTATCCAGTTAAATATGATTTAAATCACATGCTCAGGCATAATTACCTCACGTATTCTCGAGTTGCAAGTACCCAATCATCATATTATTTGCTTAAATGTTAACATTTTCTGCCATAAAAACATTATTAATAATTTTAATTGTTCACATACTTCAGAAACATTCACTGTAAAATTATTTATTTTTCGAAAAGTTATGATATCTGAAAAAATTATCAATTAATCACGAGAAAACGATTTCATTAAATTGTCCGTAAAATCGTTTGCGAAAAAAACTTTTTTTTTCTTTCTTGTTTCCAGAAAAATTCTTTTTGGTTGTCTCTCTCTCTTTTATTATAACTCAGGATATTTCCGCTTCATCTTTTCTGATTTAAAGCTGACAGTTATAAATAATAATACGAAAATGCAAAAGTTTTTCAGAAATTTACTGGTGATTTCAGTTTTAACAAATCGTAAGTAAAAACTCATTTTTCTTGATTAAATTAAATTTACTCTAACTTTTTAATTTTAACTTTAGTATGACTTTTTCTCTAAAGTTGGTGTATTATTTCAATTGTGTAAGTTGAAATAGTAATAAAATTTTACTTTATATCATAGAATTTGCATTTTAAAATGTATTAAGCAATTTATTTTAAGAGTTAAAAAAATTTAAACCGAAATATCTCATAAGTATTAATTAGTAAGGATCAATAATAATAAGAATGGATTATGTGGGTCATTCTATCGTATTAATGTTAAGTACGAACATTCCCAATCAAGTTTTGAAGCGTTTTCTTTTTTTCAGTACAAAATAAAATAAGAAGAGTATCAATCATTTTAATATATTATGTGCTTATTCAGATACATTAACCTGAAAAAATGAACTAAATTTTTAAAAAAAATATTTAATCAGATTTTGTTGCGAGCGGGGATTTATAAGTCAAATACCGTGTTTTGCATATAGTGTCATAAAAATTAAAATTATTATTTTATAAGAAAAAGGACTAATATTTGTAAAACATCGTTTAAACATTTTTCTACAGTTTGGGGGTTTGGATAGAATTTTCTTATGAATTGATAATTATCAGGCTTAATTAATTAATTACTTGATAATTAATTATATAATTATATATTAATTATAATAATTATTAACTCGATAATTAATTATAAGTTAAATGACGAATAAATTCAAGAATACAATTTATCTCAAAAAATTATTCTAAATCATCAAAATTTACATATTTGTAACTGAATTTCAAAATATTAAACAACTTGTTCAGTAGGTACAGTTTAAATTTTTTTTTCTCACCAAAATAGATTTAAGAAGCATGTTTTGTCCTTAAATTCGTATGTATTAATACTATTTCATGTGTGAATAGTTTTATATGTTTGAATCCTAAATGCATTAGGTATATTTTTAAACTTTCATGAAAACCGATGTGTTATAAATAGTTGTTCGTTATAAAACGGAAATATTTCTGTACTTAAGCATGCTAAATTACAAACAGAATATTTTCGAATTGAAAAAAGAAAGATTATTTTGCTTCTTCATTGGGATTTTAAGTACAGGTATAAAGCAAAATGCTTGAACTAGTAGGTGTAAGTGAAAATTCTTTATGAATAGTGCAGAAATGTAGGGTGATTCACATGCTTTTAAATTTTAAGTAATAAAATTAAAAAAACTATTTTACTATTTTTTCCGTGTAGAAATCTTCAGTCTAAAAGCATACGTTGAATAATTGTTTTGAATAATTATTTGTTTAAAATAAGGAGATTTTTTTTTTTAAATTATCAGAACACGGAAACTATACGATTCTTCTAAGCCTTTTGATAATTGTGTATAATTTTATGTGTAAAGAAAGATCTTTACATCCACTTTTAGTTATGCTAAATATTTTCACAAATATTTAGCATAACTAAAACCTACTTCATTACTATATAGTAATATTTGTACTAATTACCTAGTGTTAATGCTATAAAATTGAATGGGTCGCCATCTTGATTGATTGTTTTAATGAACAAAATGTCCTGTAACTAATAAGTAAAAAGATACTGATAATCAAGAAATGTAAATTTGCCATTGTAGAAATGGAAATTAAAAGTGAAAAACAAAACAAGAAGTAAGTAAGAGGAACGATGGGGCCAGGAAGAGGTAGATGTAAGATGCATTTCAAAAGTAGAATATACGTTATAAAGTAGTTTTGAAGGTAGGGTGAGAAACTGTTTACAAGGAAATCGGCATTTCCTTGCAAATTCTAAAGCAACAAGATTCCTGAGCATCAAGATGTGCTTATGTGACAGGAATGGGTAAATTCTTTGGTGTTATCGGTGGTTCCAACAATGTGCGGCAATAGATGATCTACTGAATTCTCGATGAAATACATGTTTGCCATGTTCCTCTAATCTAAATTTTAAAGCAAGCCTGGTTTACCCAAGCAAAAGTTCCATTGGCAAGGCATGAGGTAGGATCTCTAAGGGACTTGTTGAATTTTGTTAATAGGCTTAAAAATGACTCGATACCAAAAGTGGACAGGTTATCAGCAATTTAGTATCAAACAGAGGATTAAAACGGTAGAGTGAAAAGTTCACTGACAGTATTGAAGGAAGAAGGGAGTTTGGGTTTAATAAATTTATCAAGAACTGTAGTACATAAGAACTGTAAACTTTTAATTTGCTTATAGAATTTACCATTGAGTTGGGAAGCAGTTTGCAAAACACGGGAATTAGCAAGGAAAAATATATCCATAATTTCAATAAAATAGTTATGATATTCCAGTGACAATACTTATAAACAGTTTAATGATGTTTTAAATATTTTTTAATTGTGACTAATTACTGCAGTTGTATTTAAATTCAATTTGTGATAGCAATTTTGTTTGAATTCTTATGATCTCATACAACGGTCGGAAGTAGCGCACTACAAGGTAGTGAAACTAATGTAGTCACTACTTTTTTTCGTAGTTTGTACTGTAGTAGCTACTTTTTTTCGTAGTTTGTACTGTAGTCGCTACTTTTTTTCGTAGTTTGTACTGTAGTGTGCTACTTTTTTTTTAAAAAAAGTAGTGTATTGAGTAGTGAGATACAAAAAAAGCAGTTTGTAGCGATTCCTTTAACGTTTGTTTAGAAAAGAAGCATGGTTCTAACGCAACTAATTTTTCAAATTTAATGGTACAACTCTTCGGGGGACCGTCAATGGATACAATGAAAAATATCCTGTTGCTGTAGCTGAGCTTTAACATAAATTATGTATTTAAAGCCTCGTATAACTAATATTTAAACCAGCCATTGCGAAAAATAGACAATTAATCACTTTGGCCACACTTTCACATGCGAATGCACACTTGTGAAACATTGATGTGATTTCAAAGGAAGGAAACATGTTTTCGATGTGCTTAATATTTTAGAGAAAATAAAAGAGCATTAAAGACTTACAAAATTGTAAATATTGGATTATTTCTTAACATTTTTACGATTCGTTGTCCAAGAAGGCATAAATGATTAAAAGTTAGAAGAACTAATTCGAAAAAAAAAATGGTTTTAGAATAACAAACTGGTTAAAGTAAACATGAATAAATACTTCTTAATAATTCCTCATGCTTACATCAGCAAATTTTTAATTAAAAACAATATTGAATAAGGGTGCAAATTAAGTTAGTAAGCATAGTTAATCTCCTAAGTGTAGTTAAATTGTTACTACATTTCAAAATTAGTTTGTAGTCACTACGTTTAAAAAAAAGTAGTTGTAGTTAACTACGTTTGTAACAAAGTAGTTGTTGTAAACTACAAAAATAACGTAGTTTTTCAGACCACTGATCTCATGCATGCATTCACTGCAGTAGAAAATTAACTAACCTAGGTAGTAACATTACACATAATCGTAATTAGTCAACATCCGTTACTAAATGTTTGTATAACTGTTTTTAACTATATATTGCGGCTTCTTAAATTCGTCTGTTCCGTTTACAATCAAAGTAATGGCAAGAATACAGTTAATCTCATAAAAAATTTTGCTTTCTGGCCCTAAAGACTAGAAAGAAAATTCAGTGTGTTGTAAAATGTTCTCCTCAGTTTTTATCTTGATATTTTTAATTTTCAAATAAATATGAAACTTTGGATATGCATTTAAAAAAATATATTTCTGGTTTTAATCTTACTATCAAAATTATATAACTTGAGATTAGTACGAAAAGTTAAGTATGAAGTAAATAAATAAATATCAGTAATAAAAGGACTTACCGCTGCAAAATATAACAGCCAAAGTGCTGAATATTAAAAGTGTCTTCATGGTTTAAACTGTAGTTAAGCTGTGAAAGTTAAGAAACCTTTTTAGTATTTTAAAATCTTAAGGTATTAATTCTATTAATCACAGTATAATACATCTTTCGTACTGTAATATTAAGGATATAAAACTGTTTTAGACATTTAACTCATTTGATTAAGATAATCAATCGATCTGATTAAAATAGGAAACCTTTTTTTAATTGCTTAAAGTTACTGGGCAATTAAAAAAAGGTTTCTTACTTAATCGTACAATTGTTAATATAGCTTAGTTTGTGCTGATTGAATTTTCTTTTTGAGATATAAGCATATCTAAAGGTCATTTTAAAATAGCATTTATAATTGTTCTTGAGTTTCATGTACGGAAAAATTGTTGACTTATTTAATTCTATTTTTTCGTAATAACTATTAAAAAGTTTTTGTAATTTTCCACATTTCAAATAATGGCATTTTTTAAAATTAAAACTCTTTATAAGCTCTGAAGGAATCTATTTGTCGAAAACTCATGAAAAAAATTCGTTTGGGCTTGATTACCAACATGTTACGCATTTTGTTGCCTTTAGAGGGGAAGGTTTAAAATCCTGCATGGCTGTTACATTTTGAATTTCCTGTTTTCTTTTACTTCACTCTGTAATTAGTTAATTAGTTTTCTGAAAATAAGTTTGGAATTTTTTAGCGTCTTTTCTGGTATAATGTTTTAATGAGACAAAAAGTATAGATAAAAAAGTTAATACAGATGAACTAATATCGAACGCAAATTAAAATACATAAATTTTGATACTGGTTTATAATTTCACTTCTTAACTTTCATTTTGGATGAAAGTTATGAGGTTTAATAATGTTTATTGATATAAATCAAATTAAAAATTAATGTTTATTCCAGAAATGTTATCTTTTTTTATATTTTAAGTTTTATAGAAATATCTACCGGATGTTGGATTGTCCTCATATTACTGCATGAAAATTTACCTCAAATTGCGGATTTAATTAAGCAAGTAAACAGTATAATACTGCCATGTAATAGAATCAACCTAAGGCACAAAAGATTGACATTTTTATGCAATTGGCATTTTTGAATGATGAGCTACATATTGCAGAAAAAAAATAAAATAAAAAATAATAATAATAATTTTTTTTAAAAACACATTTTTTTAAAAAGTTTTCTGCAATTCTATTTCTTAGTTAGTATCATTAGCAATAGAAAATAAAGAAGTTGTCAAACCACTTTTCTCAATACGTATCGTGATGCACTAAGCTTTTTTTTTTTCTTCAGTTGCATGGTACAATACATGACTTTACATAAGTTGGAATATTTATTGAAAAATATGGTATAAACATTGATTTTTCCAGATAATTAAGTAACAGATAAGAATTTCCTTTTCTTATATTTAAATTGTGGTATTAGTTAAATTTTATGAAAGCACTATTTCTGAATTCCTATTAAATCAAATGCATTATTTTTATGATAAATGTAGTAATGTTTTGTAAGTAATATCCTTTTAAATATAAAAGCAATTTCTGTTATGACAACATATTTTATATTAATTACCTAATGAATTTTTTTTATTAATTTTTATCACATCTTTACAGGTTCTAAGATCACATACTAAATGTAGCCTTGCTTGAATTAATCTTTTTGGCAGCTAAATTTTTTCTGCTATTAAGTTTTTTTCATCTATAATTCTTAGTCTGTTACTGTGGAATTTCATAAAATTTCGATTTCTATAGAGTATTTGCTTTTCCATGAAGTGTTTTATTTTAAATTTAAGAAAAATAAAAATGCAGATAAAAAGTGACATAATATCAAGTTAAGAATAAGTAATATTAACAGATCTTGATCTTTAAAAAATGTTGTTCCTAAAATAATTGTGTTGCAAATATAGAGTGTGTTTTTTTAAAATTTATTCTTTATTTGAGTTTTTACGAGTATTGAACTCTGTTATTTCATAAACAAAAAATAAATACATAAAACTAAGTAAGGCAAAATTTGAATTGAACATCCCTTATGACCTTCGTTTAGTTAAAATCATAAACATGATTTAATTCATAGTTATCATTATCAATAATAATCGTAGTTAGAGAAAAAAAAATTACTTACAGACAAAGTGAACTCGTGTTCAAGTTCTCTGTGGAATCGTATCAAGCAAACTGTGGGAATTAAGTTTTTAATTCCACATGTAATATTTTTTCGATGGACCAGTTATCGATATAACAGCTGTTTATAAAGATAGTAGTTAATCTTGGTGAACTTTGGCCTTATTCAATTCCTGCAAAATTTCTTACAGTCACTTTATCTAAAGAAATTCATCGCCAATTACTTCGAAGAATAATTTCCAGAATTGTTTTCTCGGAGCTTATATAATATAAGTAACATCTTGTGAATAAAGAAGCTTAAATTCAACTGAAACTGTTGTGTAACTAAGCTGCATAAGAGAAGTGATGTAATTAATTTAAAGTATTATTTCTTTTCAATTTGGTTATAACGTAGTTTAATTTAACGAGCAAAATGCATAGGCTCCAATTATTCACTTGGTCTGTAAAGCAATGTCAAACACGCAGGTCCAAAATTAAATTTTTTATGCATGTAAACTTTGTAATTTTTGAACTATCGACTAATTTGACCGCATTCGAATTAGAATAAAAATATATATCCAAAAAATGTTTTTCTTTATATTTATTTTTTTTAAATTTTTTTTTACCTTGAGTGAGGGGCAAACCATCTATTAACTATTTAGGAACTAGCCTCAAAGTTTAGGGCTGTATTGTATAAAACTAAATAACTTAACATTGACCCCTGCATTGATATTATTTCTACTTCTTTTTCCAACTATTTTCATGCTCGTTTACTTTTGGCGATGGGAGTCAGCTTCGAAAACATGATCAATAGTCAAACCATCAAACTTGTGCAAAACTTCACTTTTTCGCCATTTAAAGATCAAGTATTTTATTTTAATTTTATATTTAACATCCGTCGTTGAACAGCCCTCCCAATTTTCGGGTTTACGACTACTAATGTTCAACTCCGTAGCCTTGTAATTTTGAACCAATCCAGAAGACAAGGAAACACCTAGATCAGTAACCCCAGAGGTATTGATTAATTATGGGAACATGGAGGACTTTGAGAGTAAACAGATTTAAAGTGCATCAGTCATTTACCACACGGGGAATCTTCGGTCGGCGGGGATCGACTCCATGACCTCTTGGACATGGGCTCAGAGACCTACCAACCAGATCTTATATTAAAACCAAAGCACTACGCAATTTCATTTAGACCTACCTACCACAAGTACACCACTCACTTCTTGCACTTTTTATCGAACTTATTAACAAGCCTTCTCACGATCACACGCATCCAGTGCAATATATAACTTTAAGATTCACTGCTGTAACTTATAGATTTTGAGTGTCTAATCTAATAAAAAAAAACTTGTTTCGAAGATTTTTAAATGGCTTTTGTGCCAAAAGTCAATTGCAATTGAATTTACGGGGGGGGGGATGCTTTACGTTAATGAAATTTGATTTTGAGAAAAACGAATTTCAAAGTTTGAGAGTTTTCATTCGATTGAAATCGCAAAAAATTAAAATATACTCGAATGTCACATGTATTTGCATTTCCTAAGAATTTCTAAACTTAATTTACAGCTTTTGATGTTGAGAAAAATACAATTTTAAAATCGGATTGGACAAGAACCGTTTCACTTACTCAAAAAAAAAAAAAAAAAAAAAAAAAAAAAAAAAAAAAATTCCTCCTCAATCAATACTTCCTCACTAGTCTTCCCTTGGTCTTCTTCACTATACTTCCTTTGTTCTTCTCGTCTACCTTCGCTTGGACGGAAGCTGCATCCCCCCCCCTCCAACACATCCCATCTCTTCTACGTAATAACTCTCGGGGTTGACAGATTTTTCACGTTAATGATTTATTAAAAACTAGTAATTCTCAAAATGCATAAGATGGTGATAGTCAATTTTGTGAAAAATGAACATAAACCGTACTCCTCCTTATTGATCTGTAATTGTTTATATCTTAATAATTAGTGTGGAAATTGAAGAACATTAAAAAATTATTACGAAGTGATTCACTCTTGGGCCAAAAAATATTTCTAAATGTAAATAGGCGTGTTTTTTCCTTAAAAATTATACCTCATAACTTTCAATCCTGACCCCAAAGTTTTTAAAATTAAAAAAAAAAGTAAAGAAAACTCGTCTAGTTGAATATATTAAAAATTTCGATGAAATCAAAAATTTTAATTTTTCAGAACTACCCGATTGTTTAAAAAATTTTAAAGTTATCTTAAGTTATCTCAGATAAGAAAAGTTATCTTAGATGTTTAATCAGCATTAAAATGGTATCTTTTGAGATGAAAACTCAATCGTTTGCATTTTATTGTACATTAAAATGCAAACAATTGCGTAATATCTCGTTACGTAGGCAAAACGTTTAAACGCAAGTTTATTGTTTCGATGTTTTTCTTTAGATTAAGAATCGTTGTTTTTTATTTATAGGAAAGTATTTATTTTAAAAACTGAAATTACTCAGTGTGTTATTTTGATAAATGTTGTTCTAATTTTTATTCTGCTTAGATGAATTTAAATTTGGTAAACAAATTTTAAATATCTAGAAGGGTTATAAATTCAAAAAAATTAAGAATAATGCTTTTAAAATAGAACGAAAAATAATCGCCATATTTATTATTTCTTAAAATATTGATAAAAAATAGTGTTAAATTATTTATATATTTTTTTGCTTGTCTAAAAGCCTTTTAATTTAGGGATTTAATGATTTATCTAATATATTCTATTATCACTTTAAAGAATCTTAATGAGCTTTTTAAAATTAGTTTGTCGATGTGATGAAATATTATAATAAAACTTTAAAGCTTTATAAGTTCAAGTTTCCTAAAAATTTTTTGTTATTACCTAGTTTAATATTTTTAATATTTATCAATGGAATAAGACTAAACTGTAGATAAATTAAAGTTATTAATAATTGTTTATTCCAAGTATTATATAATCACAAGGTTTTAATATATCTAAAGCACATCATTCTAAATCTAATTTTTAGAATGTATAAAAAAAGAACATTTGCAAGAAATAGTGTAATTAGCTTTTCAATATATTACTTTCGCATTGTTAGCTAAGGGAGCCATGAAGATAAATGCTGCATATTTTCGTAACCAACGGCGGTATGAGTGACGCAGCATTACACACGAACCGCATTTACTTCCTTAGCAAATTGAGTATGTTTCAAGTCCTTCACAACGACAGATCAATACTTTTACTGTGTCATCATTAAGATTACTTATTGTTTTTTTATTATGAAATTTGAATATCGAGGTATGCAATTCCTTACTCTAATTTAATCTGTGTCATTTTAAAGGATAAAATAGGAAACTTGAAAGAAATTGAATAAATAGTTATTAAGAAATAAAAATTCTAGAATTTTTCAATCTTTATTAAAAAGAGCTTGTTTCATTTGTTTAATAATTCCCAAGATATGGTGAAATACTCAAAAAGTGAAGTTAACATTAAGGGGGCGAAGCTTTCAACCATTTTCTTATGTAAACTATTTTGGGACAATTTTTTTTCCAGATTATGGTCCCCCCCCCCCCCCCTNGGGCCCCCCCCCCCCACTCTTATCTTGAGAGTCAAGAATAATGACATGTTTATTCAGAGAAAGTACATTTTTGTGGCTGATTTTTCGAAACTTAAAATATCGTTGGCGCTAATTAATTTGTACATTATAGGTTAGATCCTTGAACTATTGAGTCCTACTAGTACGCGAAAATCGCTCATTTAGATCAGAGGTGTTTAAAGTGTTTTCTTTTTTTTTCACACTCTGCACTAATTTCGCAACTCTTGTAACTGTTTTAATAACATCTACAAATAAGAAAGTTAGATATTTTTAATCAAATAAAACAATATTTAATATCCATCGAGCGATTTCTTTTTACTAACGTGTTTTTATGAACTTAAAGCAAAGTTTATAAACAAATTAAATACTGCCACAATAATAAATTAATGTTTATTTATATTAGGTGGCCATTTGATATGTGAATTTCTTTTTACAATTAAATTTTTGAATTCGGATAAATGCGAATCATAATAAATCGAAATTAACTCCTTCAAGAAGGAAAATTGCTTTCTTTCCAAAATAATTACTTCTTTTAAGGGATTTTTTAAAAGTGAATTAATTACTATTACAGGTTTTTCCTTTAAAAGTAATTTTATTGCACAATTTGATTAGATTCTACATAATCACGGTTACTATTAAATTATGATTAATTATATAAAGTTTAAAAATTTAATTGCAGATTAAGAATGTTTGTAACCACAATTATAGTTTATAAATATTCTTGTAGAACTTTAATTTCTACCTGATGATGAGACCTGTAAGTTAAGAGAGCCTCTCTCTCTTAACGGGGTATCTTAATCTGCATAACAATGTTATCCCGAAGGTGTCTGAATTTATGACAAATGTATAGTTCTGTTTCCTAAATGTCATGAAAAGAGATAAATGTTAATTTTCCATGACTTTTACATAAATTTGCATGGGAATCAAAGTTAAGTTCTTCGATATAATTTTTTCATGGAGTATCGAGTATTTGTGTCTAGAGTAATGATACATACATAGAATAAAATCATGTTTTTTGTTGCTTATATCCGTTTTTTGGACGTTATTTTTTTTAGAAATGATGTAAGCTTTTTTATAGTTGGCATAAAAGAACAAAAATAAAAATTATCTTTTGAATTATCATCCCGAAAATGATGTCACTACGTTGAATTCTGTATTACGGTATCACTCTGGTACACAGTAGTTTTTAAATTTTTTAAAATTCAAAAAAATTTATTTAAAAAAATATTTTATAAAACTCTTTATTTTAATCTATTTTATGGGTTAGAATTATTTTTAAAATGGTTAAGAAATATAAGGAAGGTTAAGACTTTTTTTGGGGAAAAAATAATTTTATTAAAGTAAAAAGTTTGTATTCGATCTTTAAGAGTATTGTAAGGGTCATAAAAATAAGGGCTAACCTAAGCAATAGCAAAATGCAGCGCAACAAGATGGATTAAAAAAGCAGGCGACATTTTTGGAATTCGTGATCGCAACGCTCGAGTACGCCGTCTAGCGGGAGCCTGTAAATATCGGACATTAACTTAATACAATCACATTTTCTG